CCCCAAAACCCCAAAACCCCAAAACCCCAAAACCCCTGATTACTTATAGATGGGTTATTTTGAGTGGCTATTAAATAAAATATCTATTTTGATGATGTTGACTGAAACTAATATAATATCTTATGTAATCATACCAATTCAAATTTAAGAGTTTTTTCAAGATAAGGAAATTTCTCAAAATCATAAATCTCATCGATAGATTCTTCTACCGGGTATTCTAAAAACTTTACAATCTCTTCCTAACTAATCTCATGTACAGACTTGTGTTTCCATCTGGGATTATTATCTCTATCAATGAGTTTAGCTCTGGTGCCCTCTCTCAATTCATTATCTAACCAAAAACTCATCTGAGCTCTGTACTCATTAAATAGTCCCTCTTTATACTCCTTAGCCTGATCTCCTCTTTTAATCAATTCAAAATTCAAAGCAAAAGTTTATGGAGAGTGACGAAAATTAATATGATCATGTTTTATAGACTAAGCGAAGGAGGTTTTAGAACTACAAATACGCTTATAAACCTCGTGAAAACTATCAAACTAAAATAGATCTTATATCTCTTCCAAATTCTCAATCTTTTCATCCTTTATTTCAGTGGAAAACTTATTTACTATTTCAAGGATTTCATTATGGCTGATTTTCTCATGATGATTGCTAAGCAACTCCTATCTAAGCTAGGCAAGCTTGCTATCCTCAACGAAATGTGTAGCGAAACCTTATTTTACAAGATCCACTCCCTTTACTTGTCTGCCTGTTAAGCCTAAATACATTCCTACTTCTTTCAAGCACTTTCTGCTAAAATAATATGAGGAGCCTGCATCAATAACATATCCTATTTTAACCTCTGGCATTGAAAATGCAGTCTTTTCAGTAGCAACTCTAATCTAAGCATTCATTGATATCCCAGAAGCAGCTCCTGCTGTGTAGCCATTCCAAAGAACAACTTAATTTAGTTTCTATGGTAAAATTGTAAACTGATACAGACTTTGATGATAAGTTTTATAAAATTGAATCCACTATTCTTGAGTTTTAAGCTATTGACTCACAAACTTAATATCTCCACCAGCACAGAAAGCTTTATTGCCAGCTCCATACATTACCATCAAATTTGAAACTTGATCAGGATTGTAGTGTAAATTACGTAAATACAGAAAAGCGCATTGCATCACTTCCAAATTCTAAGCATTCATCTATTCTGGTCTGTTCATAATGTACTCCACAGCAGAGTTTTTGAATTGTACTTAATCTTTATTGTGATGATAGATTAGCTTTACCTTGCCCTCTTAGACTGTTTGCACTTTAGTTGAATATTTTCTTAAACCTTGTATCATAACTTGGAATATTTCAAATCTAAACTAAATATAATGTAATTATTATTCCAAAAATTCTAATTTCAGCGATCATGTTTTTGTCAATTTCATGAATTTATCTTAAGGGGTTTTGGGGTTTTGGGGTTTTGGGG